CTGAGCCACCCAGGCACCCCAAAAAAGAATATTTAAGAAAAGGTATCTTAATGCAATGATCAAATTTTACTCCAAATTTACCAAAGAGTGTCTAGAAATCAAGCTAGGTCTTAAAACTCAAGAACGAGGTTAAGGCCAAAGACAAGGATCTGGAATTCACCCAATCACTCACAGGAAATAGTACAAACTAGAGGTGGATAAAATCTCCCAGCCCAAGGTAGACCATAGGCAGTGAAAGACAGGATGAAATCTTGGTAGCACCTACATCCAAGCAGCAAGCAGATGGACATGAGGCAAAACAAAAACCACTGTCTACCAGCTTTAAACACAGCAAAACTCAAACAGAATATTTTGAAAAGGCCAACCAATGAACAATTATTATCACATAAGTGGTGACCTCTTAGAGAATATGAATCGAGTAGCAGGAGCAGAATCCAAATGGCAACTCAAATGGAACTCAACCAAATGAAACTCAATTGGAAGGCCATAGAGGAGTACATGGGAGGAGAAAGAGGGGCAGGGGGACCCCAAATTCAGACTGCTCTTAGGGGAATGTTAGCAAAGAAAGAAAGAAGAGACACAACTGTAGAAGTCTTGAAAAGGGATGCAGAACGTGGAGGGTAAAGGAAATACTAGCCCAATTGTGAGTAAAAAATTTATTACTCGTTATTTCACGCCCTTTATAGGAACACATTTTACCTCTGTTGATAAAGGCTTAAGAGAAATTACTGACACATGTGTGTGGTTCACTTCACATTCAACACCCATGAGGCAGACAAGCATACTGCCTGACACATCCACTCATTCAGGAAATATTTCTTGAGAGCCTGCTATGTTTCAGATATAATACCAGGCACTGGGAATACAATGAAAAGACAGCTCTGCCTGTATTCATGTGGTTTACAAATTAGTGAAAGAGAAAAATATGAAACAATTATTAAAACTGTATGAAGAAAACAGTTTTATGGATAGGAATAATCTAATTTAGATTTAAAAAAAATTTTTTTACGTTTATTTATTTTTTTGAGAGACAGAGCACAAGTGGGGAGGGCAGAGATAGCAGGAGACAGAATCCGAAGTAGGCTCCAGGCTCTGAGCTGTCAGC